CACGCGTCGCTCGTGCAGAACGCGGCTTTTCCGTGGACTTTTGGAGGAACCCTCCCATCGCGGATTCCGACCACTTTTTTGCACCCCTACCTTTTTTGCAGCCCTTCCTATCCACTCCACTTCCCGTGGACCGCTGGCACCGTCCGGCACGGAAGCCATGGCCTGTCTTGGGGGTGGGGGGACGGGTCTTCCTGGTTTTCCTGTCCGCACAGGCAGGAAGGTCACCCTGATGGCTGGGAGGGCCGCAAGTCTCCTCCGCGGCCTTGCACCTGCTACTGCTCAGATGCTACGTTATGGCGAGTGGGGCTTTCAGCCATCTGGGTTATAATCTGTGGCGTTGTTTGGGTCACAGGGTAATGGAGAACACGCGTGTTAGGCGTGACATCCTGACGGAACACCGTTTCTCACAAGTTCCTTTCATCCAGACAGGAACAGTGCGGGCCCAGGGTGACTGGGAGAGCCAGCCACCTGCGCAGGCTTCCACGTTCCTGTGACTCAGTCTGATACTCCGGAATTTCTCTTGTGTCTTGGGAACCACTTGTGAGTGCAGCTGTCATCTGATTTTCATGTAGCAATGACTGACTTCGGTAGGGTCTGTGGAATTTGACTTTTTATACCATCACCCGCTGGAAAATCCTGAATTTTAACTGTGCAACTGTTACTGCTGTTAAACTTGTCGAGAAACAACACCAAATTCTGGCTTGCTCTGATCATAGAAATGAGATTGTCCACTCAATGTATACTTGTGCAAGGTGAAGTCAACCAGTGAACGGGAAATGTTCGTCCAGGGCTCAGCCGGTGAACGGGAGGCGGCTGTCCAGAGCGTCTTGCCTAGTGTGGAAGATGAACACTGGACAAGGGCCCGCTGGGCGTCCAAACACTGACAAAATCAAGAAAAGGATTCTGCTCCGTCTCCAGGACGGTGTCAGGCACGCCTTGTTTTACTGCTAGTGCATATTTCACACCCACGAGGAGTGGGCAGACGGCGGAGGGGCGTGCTCACGAGGCTGTGTGCCCACGAGGCTGCTGCGGGCAGTGGTGATGTGCAGTATCCCGCTGGATGGAAGTGCACTCTTCACTCAGGCGTTGAAAGACCTTTGAGTCGGCTCAAGTTTGTGGCTATTATGAATAAAGCTGACAGGTTTTTTTTTTCCAAGATTTATTTATTTATTTGAAAGAGTTACACAGAGAAAGAAGAGGCACAGAGAGAGAGAGAGAGAGAGAGAGAGAGAGAGAGAGAGGTTTTCCATCTAATGGTTACTCCCCAATTGGCCACAATGGCCAGAGCTGCGCCAATCCGAAGCCAGGAGCCAGGAGCTTCCGGGTCTCCCATGTGGGTGCAGGGCCTAAGGACTTGTGCCATCTTCTACTGCTATCCTAGGCCATAGCAGAGAGCTGGATTGGAAGTGGAGCAGCGGGTCTAGAACCGGCGCCCAAATGGGATGCCGGTGCTTCGGGCCATGGCTTTTAACCCACTGAGCTTCAGCGCTGGCCCCAAAGCTGATAGATTTTTGTGGGGGCCCAAATTTTCATTTCTGTAGGGTGACTATGGGGCAACAGAATCGCTGGGTCCTCTGCTAGGTGTATGTTTACCACTGGGAAAAAACTGCACCCAAACAAACAAAAATGAGAACACACGTGTTCGGAGTGGGCGTTGGGTGCTGACTCCCACCTGCCAGCTGTGTGCCACAGGTGCCCCACCTCCTCCTGGGACACGCCTCTCCACGGGTTTTTGTTTGACTCCTTCAAACAGGTGTGAAGCGGCAGCTCCTTCTGGTTTTAATTTGCATTTCCCCAATGGCTCAGGAGGTTGAACAAGAAAATCAAATTTGCTACAGTTTTCCTTTACGGTTTGTGTGTGTTTCCTGTTCTGTAGGAGAAATCCTCTCAGGAACCACACTGTGCCGTAGTAGGTGAAGCCACCACTTACGATGCCGGCATCCCACATGGCCACTGGCTCGAGTCCTGTCTGCTGCATTTCCAACCAGTTCCCTGCTAACAGCTTGGGAAGGCAGTGGAAGATGGCCCCCTGCTAACTTGATGGGAGGCCTGGAAGAAGCTCCTGGCTCCTGGCTCCAGCCTGGCCCAGCGCTGCCTGTTGTGACCATCGCGGGAGTGAATCAGCGGATGGAAAATCTCTCTTTCTCTGTAGCTTTGACTTTCAAATAAATAAATAAATCTTTAAAAAAAAAAACACTTTCAGAGGTTATAAGTGCCCTTCCCACATTCCTTTCTCGCATAGATCTTTTCCCCACCAGGTCGGTGTGTTTGGCGTGAGATAGTGATTTATCTTATTTCCAGGTCGGTGTGTTTGGCGTGAGACAGTGATTCTATCTTATTTCCAGCAGGGAGAATCAGGTGTTCAAGCGTAAGTGACTTAGTGTTTTCTCCTCTAGCCTGCGTGCAGTGGGCATAGAGCAGGTTGTAGTGCTGTCTGGACTGCACTCTGCTATTTGCTGTATTCGATATCCCCACACCAAGGCTTTGTGGCCAAATTCCTAGAGCTGAGAATGGAATTTGATGTTTCATAAAGAGACCCCCCCCCCATCACATTGTTTATCAAAATCACCTTGCCTACTCTTAGCTGTCTGCTAGGCAATGACTTTCGAAAGCGACATACCAAAAATTGCACTGAAGTTTCAAACTACTTTGGAGAGCAGCCATCTTTGTGATTTCTGAGCTTTCAGTCCATGAACATGGTATGCACTGGCGTCCGAGACACCATTGAGGAAATGTGCACCACTGTTCCATGTGCCGTGAGGAAGAAGGAGTTCTCCCATGTTGACATATGACCAGATGCCAAGGCAACAGTCCACTCTGACTCTGAGACGTTAAAAATTGTAAAAAAAAAAAAGTATGCTTCAGAATTGATGAAATTTTTTGTTTATCCAATTATTTGAGTCTTTAAAAAAACCTTTTACCAAAGATTGTCTCTGTAAATATTTTGTACAAGTTGTGCTGGAACTACCCTTAGGCTTCATGAGGTGTTTGCCCCACCCGCTATGCCACAGTGCCGACCTCATGAAGTATTTGCATGTGGTGTCCTGAGCTCGTGAGTGTCTCTGACTGCTGAGTGGAACCCGGGGATTTGTGCATTGGCATCTGACGACCAGCGCTAAGCTGTCGTGTCCCCCTGGCTTGTCCCCCTGGCTTGCCTGGACATTGGCTCAGGGCCATCTTTTTGTAAGCGATTTCTAACCTTATCACATTTTGGTAAAAGGGGGTGTTCTGTAGGGATTTGATTCTTCGTAACTGGTCGCAGTTGGCTTTGTGGCTACGGCCATATTTAAGAATGTTCTTCCCACTTCAGGAGTATAACTTTTTTTTTTTTTGGTATGTGAACATTAGTCTAAGCTTGTTAATTTTAGTATTCAAATTCTGTATATTGGTTATTGAAAGAGAAGAGTTCTCTGGTATTCTGGATCTATAAATCTCTCCTTGGGATTTAAAAAAATTGCTTTAGATTATTTTGAGGCCACATCGCCAGAGGCACAAAGTTCACGCTGTGCGTCCCTGGGGTGAATCACCCCTTCCACCACCCACTGTGGCCACCTGGATCTCTGAGAGTCAATTTTGACTGACAGGACACTAACAAAAGGCCTCTTTTGATTGTTGCTGGCTTAGAACACCATTTTTTGGCCCTCTGACTATCAGCTTCTCTGTACTCTCCTGTTTAGTGCAATCACTCGTAAACAGAAGGGGGTGGCTTTTATTTTTAAACCCCATCTCCCAGGCTGGCTCCGACTGGCAAATTTAGTCCTTTACATTCACTGTGAATGCTGGCCTGGCTGGACTGATTTCCAAGTTTTATTTTGGGTTTTCTGTTTGTGCATCCCATCTTCTCTTATTATTCTTCCCTGTTTTCTATTGGGTTGATCGTTTTTCTGTTCCCCTCTTGCTCTCTTCCCTTCTCTGCCACCCTCTCTGCTGCTGCGGGTGCTACATGCTGGAAGTATTCCAGTGTCTTTAAAAATGTTAACAAGCACGTTTGCTTCCCAAAATGTAAAGTTCAGTCTCCCTGCAGTGCTAGGAACTTAAAACGCTTTGCTTTCCACGTCCCCCGAGCCTCTGTTCCCTCCCCGACGTCCTGCCATCTCATCCCACGTCCCCTGTGGCCCCCTCCCCGACATCCTGCCGTCTCATCCCACGTCCCCTGTGGCCCCCTCCCCGACGTCCTGCCGTCTCATCCCACGTCCCCTGTGGCCCCCTCCTCGACATCCTGCCGTCTCATCCCACGTCCCCTGTGGCCCCCTCCCCGACGTCCTGCCGTCTCATCCCACGTCCCCTGTGGCTTCCTCCCCGACGTCCTGCCATCTCATCCCACATCCCCTGTGGCCCCATCCCCGATGTCCTGCCATCTCATCCCACGTCCCCTGTGGCCCCCTCCCCGACGTCCTGCCGTCTCATCCCACGTCCCCTGTGGCCCCCTCCCCGATGCCCTGCCATCTCATCCCATGTCCCCTGTGGCCCCCTCCTCGACATCCTGCCGTCTCATCCCACGTCCCCTGTGGCCCCCTCCCCGACATCCTGCCGTCTCATCCCACATCCCCTGTGGCTCCCTCCCCGACGTCCTGCCGTCTCATCCCACGTCCCCTGTGGCCCCCTCCCCGACATCCTGCCGTCTCATCCCACGTCCCCTGTGGCCCCCTCCCCGACGTCCTGCCGTCTCATCCCACGTCCCCTGTGGCCCCCTCCTCGACATCCTGCCGTCTCATCCCACGTCCCCTGTGGCCCCCTCCCCGACGTCCTGCCGTCTCATCCCACGTCCCCTGTGGCCCCCTCCTCGACGTCCTGCCGTCTCATCCCACGTCCCCTGTGGCCCCCTCCCCGACGTCCTGCCGTCTCATCCCACGTCCCCTGTGGCCCCCTCCCCGACGTCCTGCCGTCTCATCCCACGTCCCCTGTGGCCCCCTCCCCGACGTCCTGCCGTCTCATCCCACGTCCCCTGTGGCCCCCTCCTTGACGTCCTGCCGTCTCATCCCATGTCCCCTGTGGCCCCCTCCCCGACGTCCTGCCATCTCATCGGACACTGCTGTGTGCTGGAGCTCATGCCTGCTAAGATACGTGCGGATTTCTCTCCCCAGATCTTCTTGCAGTTGGGTTCCCACCCTGGCCAGGCTGGGGGTCGGGGGGCAGGGAGGCAGCTTCAGGGGCTCAGCCGGGCCCTGCTCTGTGGTCACCGATCCCAACAGCACATCCCTCTGAGCCTCGGTGTGTGAAGAACATGAAGGTGTCCCCGAGAGCCCTGCCAGACGCGTGACTGCGGGGGGACGTCACACCCGCGGCTGGGTGGCTGCGGGGGCGGGGGAGGGTCACACTTCACCTCCTTAGGTTTCCAGCTGGGCCCAAGAACTCAGCACAGGAGCCCTGGGAAGCAAACGGAAATCCAGACAACAGGCGAACCTGCCTGCTCCTACCCTAGGTAGGAACGGCAGTCAGGTGAGTCGGCTACACAGCGAGCGGTGCTGTCTTCCCAGGTGTGTTTGTACGGAATTCTCTCTGCCTGCCTTCCCGGCTTCCCCTGCTGGGCGGGGCGTGGGGGGGACCGCGGCTCCTCCTCGGGAGGGAGAGGGGATTGGACGCTTTCCAAGTGCTTTCAGCTCAAAACGACCCTGTGCCAGAGCGGTGCATTCTGGAATGGCCTCGTGCCCCCCTGCGGTGCCCTGAGTGACACAGGGATTTGTCAGGTGTCACGAGGTCCCTAACCCGCGGACACTGAGCCAGTCGAGAGGGACCCTGACTGGGGCCAGGCCTGCTGGGCAGCGGGTGCAGCCGCAGCTTGTGGCACCGACACTGGCAGCCCGCACCGGAGCACTGGTCCTAGTCCCTACAGGCCGCTTCGCATCCAGCTCCCTGCTAATGCACCTGGGAAGGCAGCAGAGGACGAACCAAGCGCTTGGGTCCCTGCCACCCATGTGGGAGACCAGGATGAGGCCCAGGCACCTGGCTTCAGCCTGGCCCAGATATGGCTATTGCAGCCATTTGGGGAACGAAGCAGTGGCTAGAAGATTCTCTCTCTTTAGAGAGAGAGAGATTGTCTTGGGTGGGGCTGACCTAATCAGGTGAGCGGGTAAAAGGCATCATCATTGCAAAGCCGAATAAATCCCCTGCCGACCCTGGAGGAGCAGGCCCCCTGTGGGGGGGCGAGAGCAGAGCTCAGGTGGGTCCTGGCTGGTGCCAGCAAGAATGGGTCTTTCAGTCCTGACCACAAGGAACTGAATCTGACCAACCGCCCGTGGACTAGGGCGAGGGCCCTGACTCAGGCCTGGCACAAGCCTCCAGCTCCACTTGGGGAGACCTTGAGCAGGGCTCCCAGGGTAATCATGGGGCCTGACCCAGAGGCTGGGAGGTGAGAGAGCCGTGTGGGTCTCAGCTGCTACAGCCAGCGATGCCTGAGAGACTCGGCCAGAGCCCCACTCACCGCTGTGCCAGCTGTGCCTTTCCTGGCACAGACGTGGGCGGCCCTGCTGCCCGTGTCAGCTCAGTCCAGTGCACAGTGGTCCCCCAGCGGCCAGCGACAGTGCCTGTGAGAAGGGGCAAGGTCGGGGAGCAGACCCAGTCCGTAAGCTCCCCCAACTCCTTGGTCATTCCCAGCATTTTCACTTCAGCCTCTCCTGTCTTGGGTCAGGGCTCAGTTTCGGCTCCTCGTTCATCTGTGGACTCCTTCCTTTGGGTTTGATGATTCTGCGTCCTCGTCCGCATACTTCAGCTGATGTGTGCATTTATTTGTGTTTTATTCAAAAGGCAGAGACACAGAGATCTTCCATCCAGGGCTCCCTCCCAGTGGTTGCCACAGCCAGGGCTGAGCCTGACTGAAGAGAAGCTGGGCACGCAACCCCGGTGTCCACATGAGGGCAGGGACCCACACCGAGCCCTCAGCGTCTGCTGCCCAGGTGCACAGCCCACACCTGAACTCGGGCTCTGGGACGCAGGCTGCGGGCAGCCAGGTAATGTCTCGTGCTGCACCCAGCGCCCACCCCACGCCCTCTGTTCTCGTGTGGAACCTCTGGGTTTTCTCAGGTAGGTGATGGGCTCACTTTGAGTGCTCCTGCCAGAAGTCCCCAGAGTATCCCACACCTGAGGGGCTCTGTGTTACTCCTGAGGGCTGGGCTCCCCCGACTACGCATGTAGTCTGGGTTCTAATCCCAGAGAGAGAGGGAGAGAGGGAGAGGTCCCACCCCGAGTGTGAATGTGTCAGATCTCACTTGATGGGACGCCCCCCCTAATGCCCACGTGAACAGTGTCCGCAGTGGACCCTCTGTGGGGTGGCTGGGCCCAGCTGTGGACTGTGGTTTCAGGTGGCCGAGGGCCCAGAGGCCAGTGCTGCCTCCAGAACGGTAGAAATACAGGGATGTTGTCCTTCCTCTCCTGTCCCTCCTGTCCCCTTCCTGTCCCATCCAGCCAGGACCCCAGAACACCCGGAGTCCACCACAGTGGCCCGTGCCCTAGGGGGCGCTGTTCCTTCGTCCTGAATCCCAGTGCCCTGCCGTCTTCGTCCACCCAAGCACCCAGGTTCTTTGCAGCTGGGCTTCTGCGCTCTAGCGGAAAACACAGACGGCCCTGGCGCCACTACAGCCACGGTGCTGTGGCTCCGGCTGGGCCTCAGCCCCACCCTGCAGTCCTGGGTGCAGCCCTGCTCTGCTGCCTTGTCACCGCCCTCAGAGCGGTTCTGACAGCGCCTGGCTCAGGCCAAGCCTGGGGTGTGCGGATGGTCGTCCACACCCGCCTACCCCCATCTCCGTGTCCCAGCCTCCACCTGCATCCCCCGGGCTCCCCACCCCCACACCAGGAGACCTGTCTCTCCCGCGGGGCCCCCCCAGCTCTGGCTGGGTTTTCAGGTACCCTCCGACACTGAGCAAGGGGGTCCTTGGCCTCGGCCCCCCGCAAGTGGAGTCCTTGGCCTGGGCCCCACAGGGACCCTCCCCCGAGTGAGAAGTCTGTGGGGCCAGGCGTGGAGTGTCCCGGGCCTGGGCGCCCTCTCCCTGAGTTTGCCCTGTGGTTTCTCGGCCACTCCAGGCCACGCGGGGGTCCCCTGCGCTCCCCCCAGAGGCACACTGTGTCACCTCACGTCTGGGGAGGCTGCGGGTGTGAGCAGAGCCTGGCTTGGGGGCCTCCACATGCTTTACTGGGGCATCTGGGGGCCCCTTCCACGCCCTTCTCTGTAGCACACTCGCCCTTCACCCCAGGCCAGCTCCCTGGCTGCTCTTCTCGCTTCGTGAACTGGTCTGGCGACATCCGAGGTATGGAGACGGCTGAGCCTGAGGGGTGCTGTGGCCCTGCCACCAGAGAGCATGGATGTACCACTTCTAGTTCCCTGGGGTCCCCGGCTCATCCCGCGGCAGCAGCTCCTCGCCTTGCTCCATGGCCCCCTGGTTCTCTGCCCGGAGCATCTCGGGTGCGCAGGGTGGGGTGGGGTCTGGGGACTCTGACCTCGGGCCTGCTGACCTGGAAGCACAGGAGCTACAGCCTGTGGCCCTGGGGGTGGGCCTTTCCTTCCCGGGGTGGAAGGCACGGCACGCGTGGCTCCGCCTCCTGCCCTGGGCTCCACACGGCCACACAACGGCTGTCAGCCAACCCCCGGTGCTGGGCTGGGCTTCGGAGACCCGAAGGCGCTTTGCCATTGCGTTCTGCAGGAGCAGCCACGCTCAGGCTCCATTCCTCACCCCCGACACGTGGCTCGGGCTCGCTGCTTCCTGGAAACAGCCCCGTTCTCCTGGGAAGGACCCTCTCCGGGGGGGCCGGAGCCCCGCTCCCTTCACCCCTGCCCCCGCCCCCACCCTCAGCATTCAACTCCTTCCCCTGACAGCTCTGGGCTGCACCCGCCCTCCGCGTAATCAGTGGTCCAGGCCCAACAGCTGGGTGACGATGCATTGCCAAGACACGGGGACTCGGCCTCGTCTGAAGCGGGCTTGGGGGGCCCGCGGCGGGCAGGGGCGACTGGGAATCAGGGCTTTGAGACGAGCCTTGAACCGGCCTGGGAGCGAATCCCTGAGCCCAGCTCCGCTGCCAGCGACAGCGGGACTGGCCCTCTCAGCTGCTCACCCTGCAGGCTCCCTGGTTAACTTGATGTCCCGCGGGGTTGTTAGAGCAGTGCCTGGTCCCTGAAGAATTCAGCAAGCGGGACAAGAACACAGCGGCCTCTCACCTTCCAAATGCTCCCACCCTGTGAAGTGCATCTTTGCTTTCTCCCGGCTGGAACCGTTTTGTTAAAAGTATACCATGCCTAGCGGCGCCGGCACACCGGGTTCTAGTCCCGGTCGGGGCGCCGGATTCTGTCCCGGTTGCCCCTCTTCCAGGCCAGCCCTCTGCTGTGGCCAGGGAGTGCAGTGGAGGATGGCCCAGGTGCTTGGGCCCTGCACCCCATGGGAGACCAGGAAAAGCACCTGGCTCCTGGCTCCTGCCATCGGATCAGCGCGGTGCGCCGGCCGCAGCGCGCCGGCCGCGGCGGCCATTGGAGGGTGAACCAACGGCAAAGGAAGACCTTTCTCTCTGTCTCTCTCTCTCACTGTCCACTCTGCCTGTCAAAAAAAAAAAAAAAAAAAAAAAAAAAAGTATACCATGTTGTGACTATGTGCTGTAGTCTTCCTTTTTTTCTCTAAAAATTATTTTACAAAGAGAAGGGAGAGACAGGAAGAGAGAGATCTTCCATCCTCTGGCTCACTCGCCAATCACCACACCAGCCAGGCTGGGCCAGGAGGAAGCCGGGAGCCTGGAACTGCACCTGGGCGGCAGGGCCAGGTATTGGGCCCTCCTGCTGCTGCTGTCTCAGGTGCAGTGGTGGAGTGGATTCTTCTTTCCTCTAAAACTAGAAAGTAAATTTCTTCTCGTGACACAAAATCCTGTTAAAAAAGTTGATTCCAAGTAATCATTGTTTCTGTGACCCTTTTAGTTAAACGCTTATCAATATCCTTATTTATGTGAGATGTGTGTGTGTGTGTGTGTGTGTGTGTGAGAGAGAGAGAGAGAGAGAGAGAAAGAGAGAGAGACTCCCGTCTGCTGGTTCGCTTCTCAGATGCCTGCAACAGCCTCAGGCCAGGCTGGGCGCTAAGCCAGGAGCCCGGAACTCAATCCGGGTGTCCAGGTCCTTGAGCCATTCCTGCTGTCTCGGGTCGGCATTACCAAAAAGTGGAATTAGGAGCCACAGCTGAGAATTGGACCCAGGATCTGGACTTCAGCAGGGGACGTGGGCGTCTTCGCTGGCAGGCTGAATGCTCCCATTTATTAGAATTAGGTTCCAGAATCAGAATCACTAGGTGAAAGACTACGCAAACATCTCAGGGTTTTATTAACGTGTCGTTAAGTAGCTGAAAGTCTCTGCCAGTTGACAGTCAGTTAATGTGTTTATTTCTTCAGTTACTTTTATCAGATAAAGTGTTGCGTTTCTCTCATTGTTGGGGAAGAGAACATTCTGTCATGTTTACTGGGCCTTTCTTTTGTGTTCCTTGTCCTAGTCTCTCTTGCTTTCGGAATGTTCACCCCGTCTGTCTCCCGGCTCTGGCGCCTTCTTACCCTTACCAAACCGGATGCAGGCACTCTCCCCTCACCTGCCTTCCCGGTCCCTCCCTTCCAGCTCCGGGGTCGTTGCCTCCAACATCTTTCTCTGGAGGTAAAATCTCCAAGTGCGTGGCTCTTGCATTGTCTGGGTGCTTCCTCCTGTCACTGACCTCAGCTGGCACGTGCGTCCTCTCCACCTGGAACATTCTCACACGTTCCAGCCTGCTGCCCGAGAGCCACACTGCTCACCTCCACCCCCTAAGCCAGGGCTGGGGAACCTGTGTGCCAAGGGTCACTGGGATATCTGTAGCATCATTCCACACAAAAGTAACTTAAAAATCAGCCTGCTACGAATTTATTGAATCTTGAGCCCTGCTAACCTGGCCGGCTGCTCCTGACTCCCGTTCACGGAGCCTGAAGCCCGCACGGTACCCTGAATGTCCCCTAGCAGCTCGTTCCTAATCGTTGCTAACAGCCCCTGTGCTCAGGTCAGGGTGTATCCCCTCTCCTCACTGCACCCCCACACCTGTCCCCGCGCCCCGAGATCAGCGTCTCCCCGATGACAGGCTTTCTCCTCCACAACCCCTGGGCAATGTGCAGTTTTCCTTAACACTTCTATCGTGACGCCATCTGAAGGGTCAGGAATTCGACGTCATTCCCTGTCCGTGACTAGCAGGTCCCCACACACTGCACTCTGGGTAGGAGGTGCTCACAGTGCGCTGGGGCTGCCCGCGGGAACACTGCCCGCTAACAGCGTCCAGAGCCGCCGGGCACACCTGCTGGGCGTCGCTCCGCTGGGGAGGGTCACACGTGTGCGGGGGGCCGGCCGTGTTGCTGCCTCCAGTGACCCGGGAGAGGACCACGTGGTTTTCGCTATGGGGGCAAATCTGCTTAGTTTTAGGGGCCCGAGTTTCTGCTTCGTCTCTGTCCCGTGGTTGAGCAAGTCCGACGGGGGCTGCTGCATTAGGTCCTTAGCACGTTCTCTGGCTACCGTGGCGGGCGTCTTCCTCCCGGTTCCGAGGCCCAGGACGGGCCCTGTCCGTGCGTCTGAGCCACTGGGACTTGCACGCGGTTTTCAGGCGGGCCACCCTGCCGGGCCGCACCAGGTGAGTCTCTGGGGTTGTCTTCACCTCAGGAGCCCCGTCCTGGGGTGCAGGCTCCGTAACGACGCCTTCCGGGGAGCACTCGCGCGTTCCTGGCGTCGGGCGGTCACTCCACCGTGGCCTTCGGCACAGCGCCCAGCGAGAACCCTACAGGGCTCCCGCCCACGCCCACGGAGCCCAGCTCCTCGGTACCGACGGCAGGGAGCGTTCCTCCCACGCGGGGCCCGTCTCTGGAATGGCCTGCACTCCGGAGGGCGTCCCAGGCGCGAGCCCGACTGCCCCAGCGGGCTGGGCTCACTGGCAGGATCTGCGTCGCCACAATCCGGAGTCCCGTGAACTCTGCTCCGCAGGTCACGTGGCTCAGGGCCGCCAGACCCGGCACCGGGGGCGGCCTCCTCGGCGCCCCCGCACGCCCCGCGCCTCGGGACCGCGCCGCTCGCCCGTCCCGCGCGCGGCCGTCCCTCGGGAGGCCTCTCGGCCAGACCGCCTTCCTGCTCGGGACCTGCCGTTTCGCACCAGGCAAACCCCGGCGTTTCGCAAACCGCGTTTCCGTCCGTTTGTGCAACGGCGCTGCCGCTCCGGGAGCCGCGGGCGGCAACGGACGCCGACGGCAGCCGGGCGCTTCGCGGGGCGCACGCGGGGCCGAGCGCGGCGACTCCGCACGAGCCACGCCAAAGCCGGGGCCTCAGAACGCCGCGGGCTCCCAGCACGAGCGCGCGCAGCTGCGACCGCCGGGCGAGCCGCCGTCCCCTCGGCCTCCCGCCCGGTCGGCAGGGCCGCCGCAGGCCGGCTCCCTGGGGCCCGCGTTCCCGCCGCGGGGCAGGGCGAGGCCCGCCGCGCGCCTGCGCACTCTCCCGGGGCCGCCCCTACATCTCCCGGCTCACGCAGCACCACGTGACCGTCTGCCAGTAGCCAAGATGGCGGCCTCGGCAAGGCCTGGCCGGCTCTGCGCCTCAGCCCGCGCCCCACCGCAACCCTACCACGCACGAGTCGGGCGCGAGGGCCGGCGGTGCTGACCGCCGGCAGCTCTGCGGGCTGCGGAGGAGAACCGGCCGCGGCCCAGCACCCGTGTTTACAATCTCTGCCCACCCCTGCGCCCTGCGTTTTCTCCGCCAAGCCTCCAGCGGCTGGCGCCTGAAGCGTCCTTTGGCACGCCCGCCCACCTGGAATTGGCAGCTCCGGGAGCCAACGGGACCTAGCTCGAGTCCGCGGAGGCGGGCGAAGGAGGAGCATTTCTGCCGCTCACGGGCCCTCCGGCTCGGCGATTGGGCCACCGCGGGGCGAGGGGCGGGAGCACACGGGGCCGTCCGCAGGCTCCAGCGGGCCAATGGGAGGACGGCCGGGCGCCCGGGGCGGGCGGGCGGGGGCGGGGCCGAGCCGTAATTGACGAGCTCTTCATTAGAAACCAGGCGGGGGGGCGGGACCCGGGAGGGGAGGTGACGCACGGCGCCCGCGGCCAATGGCTAGCGAGCCGCCGGCCGGGGAGGCGGGGCCGTGGCGGCAGACGGGCGTCGCGAACAGCCTATCACCGCCCGGCTTGGCGCTGGAGGGGGGAGAAGCATCATGGTTCAACGTGGGTCAATTTTTTGTGAATGAGGAGGGGAGGTTGTGGGGCCGCCGCCGCGGAGCACCGTCCCCGCCGCCGCCCGAGCCCGAGCCCGCGCGCCCGCCCGCGCCGCCGCCGCCGCCGCCGCCGCCGCCGCCCGAGCCGCCTCCCCGCTGGGCCCCCGCGGCGCCGCGGCCGCTCGCGCCGTCGCCGCCCGAGCCCGAGCCCGCCCGCCGGCGGGTGGCGGCGCAGGCTGAGGAGATGCGGCTCGGGGCGCCCGAGCAGGGCTGAGCGCGGCCCGCCGCCGCCGCCGCCGCCGCCGCCGCCGCGGTAAGCGCTCCCGGCCCGGCCGCCGCGCCATTGTCCGCCGCCCGGCCGCCCCCGCCCCTCGGCCCGCCCAGGCCTCGGCCCGGCAGGTGGACGCCGCGCGGTCCCCGCCCGCCGGCCCGCGCTGCGGACGGCCCCACGCCTTCTGGACGCTTCCAGCGCGCGGGGGGCCGCCGGGGCGCGCGGGCCGCGCGGGGCCGGCGCCCGCGACCCCGACAGGTGGGCGCGGGCGCCCGGGCGGGGCCGTTTATGTAACTTTGTCCGATGCTGTGAGTTTGCAGAACCGCGGTCCCCCCGCCGCGGCCACGGGGCTGCCGCGGACCCCGGGGCGCCCGCAGGCCGAGCTGGGCCCGCGGCTGCCCGGCCGCGGGAGCCGCGCGTCCCGGCCTTGCGGAAACGCGGCCGGGGAACTGGGCGAATTATCTGGTGTTTACCGAGAGCGTTGAATTATGTGACAGTGTTGCGGCGGGAGACCGCGCGTCTGGGTCGGAGAGGCCGGGGGTGGAACCCCGCGTAGTCGTTTAATGCACAGTCGAAAAT